AAACAGAAAAAGAGCTTGTTTGTTGCATTTTTGTGAATCGGTCTGGAACAATGGATTTATACACGGCAGGCGGATCACAAGGGATTTTTTGCACACCCTGACATTGAAATCGTTGAGAGGATACATCAAACGTTGGTTCTTAAAAGTGAATCATCAGGTTATAGGTGAGCACAATGGTTGCAATTGGAACGTCTTCCTTAGAGGTGTTCCACCAGACCTGCAATAATCGGTGCCTGATTTACTAAAAAAAAGCGAGCAAGAAAAGGATGGATGCTGTTTCTGTATACGACGGTGCGTGCGAGAAGGAGCCTATAATGGGAGCGGGTATACAGGTTTGACATGGATTTAATAAGTTCGTTGTGCAATCAGTGATGTTCGCTGTTCAAGATTCTGTCGGCTATTCTTTCACATGCGTCGATATGTTTGCACACAATAAAAGCAACCAAGATATATCTGGCTATGCCCCTACATCGGGATAATAGTTTTATGGAGCTAGAAACTAATATGAAATCTTTTTCTTTTAGGCTGGGAAAGTAATACAGGGGAACAGTAGGGCCAATGAGGGACGATGCATGCCACCACGAATTTGAAAATCACGTTTGATGGAACAGCAAGCTTTCTAAGCCTGAAAGTATAAAAAGAAAGTTCACAAACCACGTTGTCAACGTGCTCTACATGTAAGGTCCAAGAGAGATTGTGGGATAGAACAATCCCGAGGTATTTACCAGAGCCAGTTTAGGGAATGCTGCGACTGTTAACGATAACGGTAAATTATTAAAGGTAAATTGATAGCGGGAGCCGGATTTAAGGCTGAAGGGAACGTCAACGTCATTGAAATCGCTGAGGGGATACATCAGACGTTGGTTCTTAAAAGTGAATCACTCGGTTATAGGTGAGCACAATGATGTTCACATGATTGCAATTGGAACTTCAATCTTGGATCCGCCCCATTAGTACTCTGGACATGCTCCTCCATCTAACCTTGAAGTGCACCAATCAGGTTAATCTGGAGATCAACAAACCGCCACATCCGTGGATGGCGGTACTGCTCGGAGATGTCACACAAAGATTCACTAACGACGGTAAAGCAACAATGGTCGGAGACAGAACAGCAAACCCGGTGAACGAAACGACGGAAACAATCATTATCCAAAAGATCATTTCAATATCCTCTATTCCCAACATGATTTTCAAATCTCCGCGTTGACTTTGCATTACGTTTAACCACATCAGACTGTAGCACATTCACGCACAAGACTCTACCGATTCTGAAAGGCTTTGACAAGGCATACTGGTGGTAAAAACCGTACCAAGTCAAGAATAAAAAGGCAACTTGTACGAGTAACTCACGAGTGAACCATGCTCAAACAAGCAATCGAAGCCGATTGA